TTAAGCGGAAAAACAAACAAAAAACTAAAACCCAGTGCTGGTGACAAATGTACAGCGAATTCACTTCTTCATTCTTCGCAAAGACTGAAATCAATTTTCAGGACCATGAAGAGCTAGAATTCACCTATTTTCAGAGACTTGTTTGTAGACTATGCAGCAACTTTGTTGTCTTTCCTATATTCAAAATCTGCAAACTCCCAACCCCCACGACCTCCTCTGAATCCACCACGAAATCCTCGAGGGGCAGTGAAGGTACCACCTCTGCCACCACCACGCCCTCTGCCACCACGGAAACCAAGACCTCCTCTGCCTCTGTATCCCCCACGACCACGGTTTGGACAAAGTGGGATTCCAAATGTTTCAGCATTTAATCTTCTTTCTTCAGCCCAGGTTGGTCTCCGTTCTCTATTGTCATCACAAGAAATATTATCAAAAAAGGATTTAGTTTTGTCATAATAGCAATTAGGTCCAAGTGGATCTTCTTCATCAGCATTTCCTTCACTATTTTGAGTATCAACTCCTGAGTCTCCTTTATCTTCACCATTTACAGGCTTCTCCTGTTTCTCAAGTTTATCTTCTTTTAATTTAAGCTTATTATGAAACTTTCTGTCAATCTCTTCCTTGTTGAATTGCGCATTTGCACTTTCAAAGTCAAAGTCTTTCTCAAATTTCATTGGCCCATCTCGCTGAATACCAAATCTTCCCCTGCCACCCCATGACCCCCACGCCCTCTCCTTGGAGCTGAAGGAGCACCTGGAGCTACTTGTCTCTTGTTATCATTTCTGAGTTGTTCATTTTCTGGCCTTGAAATTTTGTGTACTTCAGCTCTCCTGTGCTCCTGATTCTCTACTGCTTTTTGGCTGGTAGATGGCAAAGGCCTGGTTGATACAGGGCTCCTTCTCCCTACAGGTGCTGGAGCAGGTAAGTGGGCAGAGGCGGTCTGCACTGCTTGTTCCATGGTTGGGCTTTTTCTCAAAGGGTCTAACTGAGGGCTTGAACGACCTTGAGATAACTGTGTTTTTAGGGATCTTGTATCCTGTGTAAAGGCAGAACCAACCGCACTACTTTGGGGTAAGGTACCACTGTTTGATGTTTCTGTTCCAAAGGATGTCAAAGAGCTTCCAGCAACACCAACAGCACCAAACTGCTGCCCAACCAAGGAACTTGGACTGAACTGACTGTATGTGGGCATCCTGCCGAAAGGCCCATAAGAACCCATGGACTGGAATGAAGAAGTCGATGAGCCTAGTGAGGACTGAACGATAGCTGGGTTTTGAGGCAAAGAACATTGTGGTTTTGGTGGCTCACAAACAGTGAGGTCTTTAATGTCACTCCCACAGAATATAATGTATTCAAAGACTTCATCTCGAGGTGGTATTGGACGATCTGTTGGTCCGTCTTCTGTACCAAAGGATCGAACTTTGGCGAGGGCTACGGTGGAGTTTTCGGTGTCGATGGTGTAGAGGATGCCCTCGTAGCGGATCTCCGCCTTGGAAATGAGGCTGATCTTGCTGCCGATGTAAGGGGTGCCCCCGCTCATGGCGCCGCCGCCGCCGCCGCCCCGGGCCGCTCGCAGAGAGGCAGATCCCACGCCGCTGTCGCCCGCTCCGCACGCCTGCTCGCTCCGTCGGCGCCTACAGCAGCCGCTTCAGACCCAACATGGCGGTGGTGCCGGCTCCGCTACCCTCCCCCAGCCTCCTGCCCTCAAGCCGCGGCGCGGCGGCGGCCGCGGCGGCAGCGCCCGCGGCGGCAGCGCCTCGTTGTTTTGTTTTTTAGGTGATGTCTTGCTTTGTTGCCCAGGCTGGAGTGCAGTGGCACCGATCTCAGCTCACCGCAACCTCCCCATCCCAGGTTCATACGATTCTGCTGCCTCAGCTCCTGAGAAGCTCAGACTATAGGTGTGTGCCAGAATGCTTGGCTAATTTTTGTGTTTTTAGTAGAAATGAGGTTTCACTATGTTGGCCAGGCTGGTCCTGAGCTACTGACCTCATGATCTCCCTTCCTCAGCCTCTTAAAGTTCTGGGATTACAGACATGAGCCCCAGGGCCTGGCCCATGCTATTTTTTTAGAGAGTGCAAGCCTCAAGCCTTGGCGGGTTCCCTGTGGTGTTGGGCCTGTGGATGTGCAGAATACAAGAATTGAGGTTTGGGAACCTCTGCCTAGATTTCAGAGAATGTATGGAAATGCCTGGATGTCCAAGCAGAAGTCAACTGCAAGGGTGGGATCCTTGTGAAGAACCTCTGCTAGGGCAGTGCAGAAGGGAAATGCGGGGGTTGGAGCCACTACACAGAGTCCCCGCTGGGGCACTGCCTAGTGTAGCTGTGAGAAGAGGGCCACCATTCTCCAGACCCCAGAATGGTAGATCCACCAACAGGATGCACTGTGTGCATCCCATGAAAGCAGCCAGGAAGGTGTCTGTACCCTGCAAAGCCACAGGGGCAGAGCTGCCCAAGGTCATAGGAGCCCACCTCTTGCATCAGCATGACTTGGATGTGAGACATGGATTCAAAGATCATTTGGGAGCTTTAAGGTTTAATGACTGCCCTAACGGATTTCAGACTTGCATGGGACCTGTGGCCCCTTAGTTTTGGCCAATTTCTCTCATTTGGAGCAAGTGTATTTGCTCAATGCCTATACCCCCATTGTATCAAGGAAGTAACTAACTTGTTTTTGATTTTGCAGGCTCATATGCAGAAGGGACTTGTCTCAGAGGAAACTTTGGGCTTGGACTTTTGAGTTAATGCTAGGATGAGGTAAGACTTTGGGGAACTGTTGGCAGGGCATGCTTGTGTTTTGAAATGTGAGGATATGAGATTTGGGAGGGGCTGGGGCAGAATGAGATAGTTTGGCTGTGTCCCCACTCAAATCTCATCTTGAATTGTTGTTCCCATAATCCCCATGTGTCATGAGAAGGACCCAGTGGGAAGAATTGATTCAAGGGGGTGATTACCCTCATGCTGTTCTCATGACAGTGAGTGAATTGTCACACGATCTGACGGTTTCATCAGGGACTTTCCCCACTTTTGCTTGGCACTTCTTGCTGATGCCATGTTGCTGGGTCTGTCCCACAGACCCTGGCCAATGGATGAAATGAGTACTTAGACATGTGTATGCTGTGTAAGAGCAGCTAAGTGACTGCCTGTCTCTAGTGGCCAGAAAGCCCCGAGAAACTGGAGCGATTGCTTTTATTCAGTGCAGGCACAATGTTGAAAACCTGGAGACATCACAACCTGTAGGTAATTAACATTTATTAATCCCCTTTCAGGGAACATCATGCACGGATGATCAAAGGTCAATTCCTGATCCACATAAGTAAACAAGCCTGTTTAAAATAAATTCCTCCACACTCCCTTGTACCTACTCCTTGCCCTCTGCCTCAGGGTTATAAAACAGCTGCCTTCAGCTTTTCTCCTCCGGGGCTCTGTAGAACCTTCTGACCTTTCAGAAAGTTTGTGTCCTTTCCCTATAATTTTTCCCACCACTCTGATCAATCCCCTACACCATGTGAAGAAAAACATGTTTGCTTCCCCTTCCGCCATGATTGTAAGTTTCCAGAGGCTTCCCCAGCCATGCTGAACTGTGAGTGAATTAAACCTCTTTCCTTTATGAAAGTGAATTAAACCTCTTTCCTTTACTCAGTCTTGGATGTCTTTATTAGCAGTGTGAGAACGGACTAAAACAACACCAGTCCTTCTTTTTTGTTGTTGCCATTGGGACACTTCATCTATATAATCAAAGGAGCATGGAGCATCACAGTACCAGCCCATTATGGTTTTGTAGTGGTTGTAACATTTAGCTACAGAAGTCAGTTAAAACAGGGCACCTCTGGCTCCCTTCCATAATTGCCCCATTTTAACTTAATTGACTTCTGTAGCAAAACCAGCTACTGTGGCCTAGCCCACTAAAACGTTACAACCACTACTTCTGTAGCAAGAAGTTAAGACAGCACTGAATTCTGTGCCAGATCTTTGCTCAGTAAGCCAAGGCTTGGATTCTGTTGGTGTGCACTAAAGTGTTAGCAATATTGGCATAGTTTACCACTGACAGATCACTCTGATTAGTGATAGAATGAGGACCAGAATGGCAGATCCAACATTTCCTCAGGTTACTTGCAGTGGCCACAGCTTAGCATTATGCTTCCAAGCCTTTGCTGAGAATTCCTTGTGGAAAAAGCAGATTGATAGGTTAGTTCCCCACCCTCACCCCTCCTGGGGTCCATAGATGTTCCATACCTACTGGGGAAGGGTTGGGCTGAGTTGGTGTAGCAGCCCAGTCTCTCTGTCCCTGTCCGGGGCCCACTACCTCCGTAGGCACCCTTTGTCCTTGTTGCTTGACCCAGAGCTTTTGGCTTTGGTTATCTGGTCCAGAAAGGGATATTTTGCCCTAGACAAACTTGAAATATCTTATAATGTTACTCACCTTACTAGAAGGATCAGATGTCCCTAACACTGAGGCAGGAGGATAGGGCCTGGAAGCAGTAGATCTCGGCTCACTGCAAACTCCTCCACCCAGCTTCAGGGGATTCTCCTGCCTCAGCCTCCTGAGTAGCTGGGATTATAAACCGGTGCCACCACACCTGGCAAATTTTGTATTTTTAGTAGAGATCGGGTTTCTCCATGTTGGTCAGGCTGGCCTCAAACTCCCAAAGAAAAACAATTGGTAATCCGCCTACCTCGGCCTAACAAAGTACTGGGATTACAGGCATGAGCCACCGTGCCTGACTGAAAAGTTCTTAAACAGATTTCTAGAGGTGTGTTTTGTCTAGTGGAGTGAAACCCACTGAGGTTTTTAGAAATCTCCCACAAACTTTTTAAGAAAATTGTTCTGGATTCTAGGACCCTTGTCTCCGGGAGACAGGAGCGGGGAGGACCTGTGGGGTCCTGGGCTCAGCAATCTGCCCTGCTGCCCCTGAGGAGAGGTGAGGGTGGAGTGGGGCAGAGAAAATGCCAGCTCTGACCACAGCGGGACATTTGCCAGACCCTGTGCTTCTCTGCTGGGAAGAGCAGCGGAGTGTGTGTGGGCGGATGTGGGCTCAGGAGACCAGGACCCAACATAAACAAGTTTTGGAGACAAACAACCTCATGACCCTGTGAGGCTGGGTGAGACAAGAAGGGACTCTTGAGACAGACACCCCACAGAGGAGCCAACAGACTCAAAGGACTCCAAGAAGGACGCTCAGACTGAAAACCTCTCAGCCCTGACAAAGGTCAGCCAGCCCCTGAGGACATCAGCTTCGGCCTCAGGGTCCTAATGGCAGCAGAACCACTGACAGAGCTGGAGCTGGCCATCGAGACCGTGGTCACCACCTTCTTCACCTTTGTGAAGCAGGAGCGCCAGAAGGGCAGCCTTAACACCACTGAGTTTAAGGAGCTGGTTACCCAGCAGTTGCCCCATCTGCTCAAGGATGTGGGCTCCCTTTATGAGAAGATGAAGAGCTTGGATATAAATCAGGACTCGGAGCTCAAGTTCAATGAGTACTGGAAACTGATTGGGGAGCTGGCCAAGGACATGAAGAAGAAGAAGGGCCGGAAGAAGTAAAGCCACCTGGCTGGGGTGGGGGTGGGCAGAGCAGGACTGTTCAGGGCCGAGCAGAACCACACTCTCCCCAAATAAAGCTTCCTCTGTGAAACATAAAAAAAAAAAAAAGAAAAAGAAAATTGTTCTGGCTGAGGAACAATTCCAGTTCCACCATGAGTTGGAACTTAAAGGCAAATGGAACTTAAAAGGCAACAAAATTGAAAGAGAAGTTTGGAGTTCCCTTTTCCATCTAGGAAGTAGGTTAAATTTAATGGCTAATTCATTTTCATAAGGAAAATAGAGGTTTCAACTCAGGAGGTACAACCAAAACCCACAGAGGACAACTCACAGATAGTAAAGTGAACACTAATGAAGGAATTGGCAGCAGGTTCTGTTCTCAGGTGTGTTTCAGGGTTGCTACAGGCTAGTGACAGCTGTGTGCCACATTTTCCCCATTTTTGAACAGGAGTGTCTATAGGAGTTACCTTATACTTGTCGCACCATTGTATTATGGATATGTGTCTGTGAGGAGAGCTAACTTGTTTGTTTCAAAGCTGCTCAGATTGAGAAGAATGATATCCAAGATGCTGTACCCAAGGAACTCTCCTGAGCCTCATCTATACCTCAACCTGATACAGATGATGAAATCTTGGACCTTCACCCTGAATATGATGCTATAATGAAATAAGATTTTAGGGGGAGAGGGTTTAGAAGAAGGATGGATATATAATACATGTGGAGGAATGTATGGCCAGAAGGCAGATTGTATTTTCCAAAGATGGTTACAGTATTTCCCATTCCACATGCTCTCCTCCAGAACCTTGCTGCTCTCCTTTTTTTTTCTTTTTTGAAATGGAGTCTCCTACTGTCACCAGACTGCAGTGCGGTGGCACGATCTTGGCTCTCTGCAACCCCTTACTGCTGGATTCAAGCAATTCTTCTGCCTTAGCCTCCCAAGTAGCTGGGACTACAGGCATGCGCCACCATGCCCAGCTAATTTTTGTATTTTTAGTAGAGACAGGGTTCACCATGTTGGCCAGCATGATCTCGATCTCTTGGCCTCATGATCTGTACGCCTCAGCCTCCTAAAGTGCTGGGATTATAGGTGCGAGCCACCGGCCTGGCCCACTCTCCTTTCAAGAGGCAGACTCTATGTTCTCCTTGAACTTTGGTTAGCCTTTGACTGCCTTGCTCCATGGAGTATGGCAGAGTGACAGTATGCATAATAGCTTCCAAGACAAGGCTGAACAAAGGTCATGCCATTCTGCCTTGCTTGGTATGCTCACACTTGGAGACTCTATACTTTTATGGGAGGGAGGTTGGTGATGGTTGTCAGTTGGGAACTCAGGAAGGGATATGATTTAGGGGGTTCTCAATTGCTTTTCATCTGGGCCTTCTTGCTAATTACTTGGGCTAAGTGTCAACCCCTCAGTCAAATTGCCCCAGCCTGTGTCACTTCGCACAATGGTGATCCATTCCTACAGAGTCCTGTCCCATTTGCAGACTCTTGAGAAAAATACATGGTTAATAAAGTGTTTTGTTTTGTTTTGTTTTGTTTTCTAAAAAAAAAAAAGTATAATAAATGCTATGTAGTGTTGACGTCAAGGAGAGTAAGGAATGACTCCTCTAAGATTACCACACTATGATTTTCCAAGGTCTATTTTTTTTTCTCTTGAGTCAAGGTCTCACTCTGTTGCCCAGGCTAGAGTGCAGTGGTGCAATCATGGCTCACTGCACCAACCTTGACTTCCCAGGCTCAAGCAATCCTCCCACCTCAGTGTCCCGAGTGGCTGGGACCTCAGATGTGCACCATGTTTGGCTAATTTTTGTTGAGATTGGGTTTTGCCATGTTGCATAGGCTGGTCATGAACTCCTGAGCTCAAGCGATCTGTCCCCCTTGACTTCCCAAAGTGCTGGGATTATAGGTGTGAGCCACTGTGCCCAGCCCCAAGGTCTGTTCTTAGATCCAGGAAGTGAGAGGGAAAATAGATCATAGTCATTCCCTTTAGAAAAGAGTAGAAACTTAACCATTTTAGAGACAGGTGGTCTCATCTCCTCCTCATATTAACACCCCTCTGTATGTTTTTGGCCAAATAAAATTCTACCCTGTTACAGTTGAACAGCAAACATTAGGTGACCATCCTTTCACAATGATGGAAAAAGTCACCAGCTATGACTCAAAGCATTAACTAAAAAAACCTAGAATGAAACACGAATCTTAACAGGTGGGTATATTTTTCACTTATTTGTGTCATATACCTCTGAATCTTCTACAAGTATGTTACATTAGTTAAACTGATGACAAAGCTTATTCAACAAAGTTACCTAAAACACACCATTCATGACAAAGATGTGGCTTTAATATTATATAGGAGACAGCTGATTCACATAGGGTTATTGAACCCTAGAATCTGATCTTGACTCTCTCATGTCAACAACAGACAAATGCATTACAATTTGGGGAAAGCTGTTTTCTGGGTACCTCCCAGGTGTTTGCAGAAGAAGGCTAGAATTTGCTTCCAGGCATCCACCTGGGCCTTAGAATGAGCCCTGGGCTCCCCACCCCACATCACATGTTTGTTCACTAATGTGTGAAAGGAGGCTGGGCACAGGGGGAAGTAAGGAGGCTCGATGTAATGCCCAGTCCCAGGGTAACAGATAATCTGGGGTTTTTCCTTTCCATGGGCCTGTAACCGTTCAGAGATTGTTTGGGCATACAACTCACTCCTCCAGTTATGATCATCCTGACCAACAATGAACAGGATGGGCCCCTGGGCCTTCTCTATTGGAATCATGCTGGGGTTCTCATATCCTCCTACAAGGTCATTCCTTATATCCACGATGTCCATGAGGCCTGAGAAAGCTACCTTGATTCTCCTCGGGTCATAGTCCAATGGCGGAATGCAAATCTGCTTATAGTTTATGACTCTGTTCCCACTTGTCCCAGATCCATTGATGGAAACTGTGGCTGAGACATTCTTCAAGAATGAGGCCATTGCGAGACAAATATCAGCTCCTAGAGAAATGCCCAAAAGCCCAATGCCTGGGCCTTTTACCTGGAAGAAAAGAAGAGAGAAGAGTCAAGTCAGTAACTTATCCAGGTCACGCACGGTGGCTCATGCCTGTAATCCCAGCACTTTGGGGAGGCCGAGGTGGGTGGATCACTTGAGGTCAGGAGTTTGAGACCAGCCTGGACAACATGGTGAAACCTCGTC